CTCTCCAAATCAGGCGAGACCTTTGTCTCTGCGTCTAGTCGTACCAGGCTAGGATCCTGTAGACCGGCTCTGGCAAACTCGACTAATGAAGCGGGGAGGGTAGCAGAGAACAGCAGCGTTTGTCGGGATGGCGGCAAAGCGTGCAGAATTTCCGTAAGCTGGGTTGCGAAACCCATTTCAAACAGTCGATCAGCTTCGTCGAAAACAACGTACTTTATTGACGAGAGATCCAACGACATCTCAACCTTCAAGTGCAAGAATCGACCAGGAGTAGCAATAACGATATCAGGGTTTGCCGCCATATAGCCGAATTGCTCTTCCAAGCTATCACCACCTACTAGTAAAATAGCCTTTAGGTCGGTGCCCCTCGCAAATTCCTTGACAACCTTGAGTGTTTGTATAGCCAATTCTCGTGATGGAGACAAAATGAGAGCCCTGCTTCCGAAGCGTCCACTGTGAGCGCGAAGTTTCTCAATCATGGGAATAACGAAAGCACCCGTCTTTCCAGAACCAGTTCTCGCCATGCCGACTACATCTTTTCGGTCAAGTACAAGAGGAATTGTTTTTCTTTGAATAGGCGTAGGGACCGAGAATCCTTTTCGGGCAATTGCCTTTAACAGATTTGAGTTTAGGCCTAGAGCTTTATCAGCATTTGCATTCAAACGATCCAAGAACTGCCAGTTCGGTCTTACCCATGGCTTGAAAGCCACCTCCTTTCTTGACTGTTCTGCCTTTGAGGTTCGAAGCCTTGCGGTAAGAGGCCGCTTGCTGAAGAGCAATGAAGGCCTCATCGCCGCCGTCTTCAGCTCTCTCAGGGTCGTTCAAAATATCGTCAAAGTCGACGTCCCTGTCTGCAGGGAAATTCTGGTTGCTGTCGGCATCTTCTCCGGGGTATAATGAGTCGAGGATATCGAGCTCGGGCTCTGAGGCTGCCGGCGAAGCTGCACGTCGAGGCATGGCCGACTGGACAGGAAGGGTCGCGGTGAATCTGGGTTGAATCTGCACCAGAGCGATCTAGGAATCGACCTGGAACTCTCGACGTCGTCCAACATCGACAGCCATTTTTTTTTTCTGGGGCAGGCCGGTTATCTTATCGCCGCGGGGCAGGCAAGTAAGTGGGTCACGCTGCAGGAGCTACCATTCCCCTGCCACCACAAAGCCGCGTGAGATGCAACATCGGTTCGAACCAACGACGCCAATAGTTACTAGCAATTGAACTCCGGGACTTGCTGCTTTGCTCGCGCTCACGGCCATCCGATAACCATAATGGCTGCCGACGACTCCAAAGATGACGCAGCTGCGCTTTCCGCCCTCGAGCTCGAGGCTAAGGAATTCGACAAGGCATGCCGGCTTCCTCGACTACATGCAGACTAAAACGTGACCACTGACCATTACTCATAGGATGCCGAGATTGACCGAATCCTAAGAGCCTTCCGGTTAGACGCGTAAGCAGAACCATATCCCGTCTACGAATCAGCTTCCCATGACCTGACATTGGCCCAGTTACGCAGTCCTGGATCTCCAGCCCGGCGTTGCAGAATCCGATATCAAAAGCACCTATCGCAAAAAGTCCATGCTCATCCACCCTGATAAAACGAAGAACCCACAGGCCCCGGATGCATTCGACCGCCTGAAGAAAGCCCAGACGGAACTCATGGACGAGAAGCACCGGGAGAGGCTAGACGAAGCCATTGCCGACGCGCGAATGCTCCTCATCCGCGAAAACAAATGGACAGTGGACAGCCCTGAGCTAAAGACCGACGACTTCGCCAAGAAGTGGCGCGAAAAGTCCAAAGAGGTCTTGATTGATAACGAGCACCGTCGCCGGCGGCAGATGAGGGCGCAAATGCAAGAGGAAGGTCGCGAGCAGCGTAAGCAGGACGCCGAGTTAGAAGAAAGGAAGCGCAAGAGGCAGCATGAACAGGACTGGGAGTCGACAAGAGACGAGCGCATCAGTAGCTGGAGAACTTTTCAGAAGGGCAAGACTGGGGGCGATGGGGAGAAGAAGAAGAAGAAAAAGCTAAAGCCTATAGGTTGATTACGGCGTTGAAAACAGAGGCAGACTCTTTACGATTTTAATGATAAACTGGTTGTATTTTTTCTTTTAGCTTTTATTGTTTGCCCTTATGCATACCGAGCTATTATTCATTTGTGAGTTCGTTTTGTTCTACTGGCTGGGATACTTCTAACCAAACCAGTTCACGCTCTCTCCATGTTGAGATACGATGCCACACCAGCGACTATGTGACTTTGGGCGAACTAGATTGATCTGTGGAAGTGGCTACAGACGGTTGCCAAAGCATGTATTGCAACTCATCGGCTAGTATGCACATATAGCAAGGACCGAGCTTGATATCAGGAGATTTGTCATTGGGAACATGGTCTTTTCTACACTATCTAGAATACAAGATCCGGACAAATGCCAAAATCAACAAGAGGTATTGGCCCCCAGCCCTCCAGAAACGCCGCTTGCTGAATTCCAAGCTTTCTTTTTTAAACACCTTCACATGCACTCTCCTATTCTATCCAGGTTTATCCTCTGTTTCTTTGGGTGTTATGGTTACAGGCGGTAATATGTGAAAACAGTTAGTTACATAGGTTAGGCTGGTCCAGAATCCGACTTTTTGGGCTCGTCTTTCGGTTTGTTATCCTTATTGTCGGGTTTAGAGTCCTTTTTGGCATCGGGCTTGTCGGCGCTCGACTTTTCATCACCTTCTTTTTGATGTGCTGGGTGGTTTGTAAGTGTGTGCCACATGGACTTTAGAAACCCTTCGTTCTTATGTGAATCTGGGTTTGATGCGTCGTTGCTGCAGGGGAAACAGTCAGCACAGGCCGTTTGTGTTACAAATGCTTTGGGTTTTGCTTACTTTGATGTTGACGAGACATTCATCACTCGTCGAGCCGTCTTGTCACCCATCTCATCGGCAAGCATCTCAACAATGGTCCGCTGGTTTGCGCTGAGATACTTGGGCATGTTCACGCGGAACTCGACCCTGAGGTCACCAGCTCCGCCTCTTCGGGCACCCAATCTCTTCATCCCCATGCCAGTGAGCGTCATCTTATCGCCAGTGTTGGTGCCCGTGGCTACCTTGACATTGACTGAGCCGTCGAGTGTCGGGATGTTGACCTGGCCACCTAACAAGGCCGTGGTAAGAGGAATATTGGCGGTATATAGTATGTTGGAGCCCTCGCGACTGAATTTGGGGTCCTTGGCCACACGAACGAAAACATACAAGTCTCCACGCTGAGTCCTGGCGTTCGGGTCGGCAGTCTTTCCTGTTGGCGGGGCGTCTCCGGCGCCGTCCACGCGCAACCGCATGCCATCCTCAATGCCCGCAGGAATATCGATGGTGATGGTCTTTCGTTCCCTAACAACACCATTGCCGGAGCAAGTTCGACACTCGGAACCCTTTGGAATAGTTGTGCCCGTGCCTTCGCAAGTTCCACAAGTCGAAGCCATCTGGAAGCCGCCTTGCATAAAGTGCAATCGAGTGCCAGTTCCATTACATGACTTGCAAGGCGAGCGTTGTGTGCCGGCTTTCAGTCCACTACCAGTGCACGTCCCACAAGCCGTCAATGGAGTAATACTAATCGTTTTACTCGTGCCCTTCGCAGCCTCCATGAAAGTTATGCTGGCTTGCACCTCGATGTTATCGCCGACAAGGATTTCTTGCTGGAAAGGATTCGACCGTGCGCCTCGTCGACCGCTAAAAGGACCCTGCTGGCCAGTAAATGCCGAAAAAATGTCCTCAAAGTTGAACCCTCCGCCAAAGCCACCCTGCGCACCGAAGCCACCTTGCCCCCCAAAGCCAGAAAACGGGTTGCCAGCTCCTCCGAATGGGTCTCCTCCTGGTGCGCCGCTAGGGTCAAAGCCGGCAGCACCAAATTGATCATACTGTTCCTTCTTCTTCGGGTCGGACAGAATCTCATATGCTGATTGGACATCGGCAAACTTCTCCTTCGCATTTGGGTCCTTGTTCGTATCGGGATGAAATTTCTTCGCCAAGCCATAGTAGGCCTTCTTGATTTCTGAGGCAGACGCTGATTTGCTTACGCCAAGAGCTTTGTACGGGTCTTTTTGGGACAGAGAATCAGTGCTGTGGAAGAACTGAGGCAGGTTGGGTTAGTACTAAGCTCGTAATTCCAGCCTGGACGGAACGAAATACAAGGAGAGAAATTCAGCTTACTCTCTTAGTTGATGGAATGGTATTTCGCTTCACCCGTGTGCATGTTTCACGGGGACTGGTGCGAAAGGCAGCTGTATGAAGCTTTGCTCCTTTATTCAGGCATTGTCGGATCTTTGGTTGACCACCCAACTTGGCATGCGCAATCACTCGCGCAGGCGCGGCGGCCTTTGTGAAAAGGTTGGAATTCATGCCGAGCTGTAACAATTCATCGGAATTGCAGATAGCTCAGGAGTTGAAACCAAAAATCACCAGCGGCAGGTCAAATGTTTTCTTGGCCCTGAATGGATTCTTCTCGAAGGCACTCACTTCGCGTCGGTCCTGGACTTTTTCTACCGGGTTTAAGCCGAAAGCAGGGGTGCCTGAGGCGACAAATGCCGTCATAACCCGTTGTCTTCCGCTGGGCGGCGTACGACCAATGGAAGGGCCGCTATAACACAGCGGCTGCCGGGGTTGACAAGGACCCACGCGCGAGCACTGACAACAATTAACGCCTCGGATTCAACCTTTTCGTGTTTCAATTTATCGATCGCCTGATAATGAACATTGAGGTTAAAGCTATCCGCGCACAAAATTATGGCATCACTTGACCGGTACCCTGGGTGGTTCTCGAACAAATGAACCATCCTTGGGGTCATGCCATGAAACTCGACCGCCGTTCTTATAATACTCCCTCCGAACTGGAACCTAATTCAAGGAAAAGTGCGAACACCATGCCTTGGAACCCCGACATACTCAGATAAAGACAGTATGGAGAAGTATGCCCAAGTTCGCCTGAGTTCCGAATCTTTTAAAACACCCATTTTTTACCTTTTTTTACAATGACCACCCCTCAAGTTCATGCGCAGTCCAATCCCACAACTCCTTCGCCAAATCTTCATCCTTCCCAAGCTTGCTCGACTTCCCGCTCACACCGACCGGCTCGTAATATTCTCCGCTCTTCACGTCTTTCGCAACAGACGCCCACAGCTGATTCTTGGCGCCCTGGTTCACCGGAGTGAAAAAATAACTTGCCAGGGGTCCCAGGACTCTCGAGGCGATCCCCGCGCCCGACATGCCGTTGACCAGGTTTGTTCTCACGACACCTGGATGAATAGCAGTGACGGTAAATTGGGGATATTGCGCCGCTAGTTGCCGAGCAAAGAGCACATTAGCCAGCTTACTCTGTCCATATCTTCCAAATGCCTGCATCTCGTCTGCCTTGGTCTTGAGTGAATCAAATACGATGCCTTCCTTTGGAGCTAGGTAGTGTCCTCTGGATGATAAAGATACTACCCGGACATCGGCACCGGGCTCTGATGCAGTCTTTTCCAAGATGGGAAGAAGGAACTTGGTAAGCAGCGCGTGGCCCATGTGGTTCGTGCCAAACTGAAGTTCATATCCGTTCTCTGTGACAGCCGGTGCCGCGGCCATGATGCCCGCATTCAACATGAGAATGTCCAGTCGGTCAGACTCAGCAAGGAACCTCTGAGAAGCTTGCTTGACGGATTCGAATGAAGACAAGTCTAGTTTAAGAACCTTGACCGGCGAGTCTGGCTTGTACTGATGTATCTCATCCACTACCGCCTGAGCAGCGGCGGCATTTCTCGCCGCAAGCCAGATCTGCTTGGGATTGTGTTGAACGTATTCGCAAACAGCTTGTTTTCCAAGCCCGTTGTTGCCGCCCGTGACGAGAATGACTTTGCCATCCAAAGAGGGGATATCTTTGTCGGGCTCGAAAGGGACGGCGGCCTTGTCAATGGCCATGCTTTGCCAGAGTCGAGACATGATCGAATAGTCTTTGCCCAGATATGAAATGCACGGATTGTGTGGTGATGATGGAGGAAGCTCGGATAAGAAATGCGTATTGCTTGATGATTCTCAACAGCCCAGCTGACGTTGGAGACTCTTTATACATATACTGCGTGGCCAATCCGGCAACCGGTCCGGCTTCATGACACTATGCCGTGCCGCCGTATATGTGTTTGCATTTGCAAAACACTCGCAAGGAATCGAAACACGCCAAGGGCCAATGCTTAACTGCGTGTCCTATCTCCGAAACGAAAAGATGATGTTGCAGAGACAACAAGAAATCGGGATAGATGAGTTGTCGGGTCCATCCAGTCGGATTTCGCCCACGGAGGATGCGGGGTCATAATTTGCCCGATTACCTCGGCCCATACCTGCGTAGTTAAGGGCTGGCATTATTCCTATTGTATTACATTTTGTGTCGTTTCGTCTTGACGACTTGTGGTTGTTTTTGCAGTATCACTGTGACTTGTTGTCCATCAATTAGAGCAAGTGGTTAACCTGCATATAACGGGTGTTGGTTAGGACTTGACCAGGCCGGGCGTCTTACTGCCGTGCAACCCACCCAAGCAACCGAGAGATTCCCCCCCCAAGCCCTTGGCGTGAAAATCGCCATGTACGTACACTTTTCCCCTACGCCAATAAAATTAAACATCCTTTGCAGCACCGTAGAAATACACTACACGCTCGCCACTCTGGGGGTTTCTGGATTTGGTGTTTCTGCCACAACGGCCGGGTCAGTTGCGTCGCAGCTCAGACCCAATCCTCGGCTGGGTTCGTTGCGGCACCACTGTCAATTTCTGCCCTCTGGCCAGCTGCTGTCGTTCACACAGTTCGGCAATCGGAATACTTTCAATCCATTCCATTCGCAATACCCTGTGTCAGGCTTCCCAAATACTAGCCGAGTGTTGCCCTATTTCACCTTCACAAAGCCTGGCCTGAACGCGAGGCACGACCTCTTCTCACGTCCTGAAATCAGGCAAAGACGACGCACACTCGACTTGGATCTTTAATTGCACCTTCTAGTTTTAATCATAACCCCAGGCCGCCTTTATCGATTCCTTATAAGTGCAAACATGGCCAGAGGAACTTGCATGTTAAAAGGGTATATATGATGTCGCTTGCCCCAACAGAGGACAAATACAACACGCAATCAGCGCAAAATGCAACGATGTAACCATGGCATCAGCCTCTTACTATATGTAAATCATCATGAGCCCTGCCGGAGCCTATTTATACAATGGCAGTCGGCTCCAGACACTTATGTGGCCAGCAATACGGCCAGTCTTCTAGCTCAACATCGTCCCTTGCGCCCAAAACGCCATACTATGAAGCAACCAACGCTCAAATGGAAGAATCGATTTATAATCGTCAATGTTCTGAGATGATACCAGGTTGTCTATTCGGACCCCCCGCCCTGGCCATCTTTTCGTTTCGAATTTTGTATATGAAGTCGACTACCACGTCGTTTTCTTGGATGCCAAGGCCGTTAAAGTGCTTTCTCACAGCTTTTGCCAAGTTGTCTTTGCTCTGCCGTCGCGTTTGTTGCTTCCGAGTCATGGTTGGGGAGTAGAGGCCGATGCTGCCCGATCGCGAGAGCAACAATTGGTGGTACTTGCTGGCGAACGAAGCCGGCGTGTTTAGTTGATGTTCGCGACGGTAGGTGTGGAGAGCATCGCGTTCGAAAGAAGACCAATTGATCTGTACAGCACACACGCAAGTCAGCATAGGACGTGGAAAAGGGCGTGTCGCGCGCCGAGGGGCCATTGCCCGTGTCTAAGAGGCAAGTCGGGGAGTCGCAAGCTTCGAAAGGCAGCTTACCGTTGGTGCCTGTGTTTCCGAAGCACTTTGCAAAGGTGCCGAAGTAGGGGTATTCGCTGCATGTGCTTCTCGCAGTTGTGATGCACTGGACTGGCTGGCCCCGCGACGCATCTTGGCTGAAGTTGGTCCGCTCCCCTTCTCTTTGGGACCACCAGTGTTGTCCGTCTTGTGATCGTCGGCCGCAGTCCGTGATGATTTTGGAGGTGGCATTGTGAAGAAGTGTGCGAGGCAATTCAGGAAATATGTACAGGATAGTGGGTGGAAATATCGGCAGAGCTGGAGGACGGATATCAAGGCGGTGGTGGTGGTGGAAGGTAGAGGAGAAATGACGGTCGAGGCAGGAGCGGAAATGTGTGCGACATCGCAAGATTTCTCGGGTGACTTGGTGTAGGCCGCACGTAAGCGGGGCGGACAGTCGCCAGCAAACAAAGAGTCAAGGTGCCAGAAACGATTGGTCGCGTGAATGATATCACTCGCGCTAAGCCTCTTATGTGCGTCGGCGCAACCGAGAGCTCACGCTGGAGCTTGAGGACGGACAGCAGGCTGGCCGGCGTTGTTAAAATTGGCCGGCGTTTGAGGTACGGTACTTGGGGACTTGCCAAAAGAACGGGCTCTTTGAAGAAGAAATTCTGTTAAAGAGAGTGAAGGTCTGATGCTAACTGTAAGGGACGATTTTGGGGAATCTGGAAACCCACTGAGGTGGGTACCCATCGTGGCACAAGCTGGCGGTGACAACGTTCAACGGCGTGGTACGAGTTATGTAGGTACTAGTAGTACCAACTTAATACCAAGCAACCAACTAGAAGGAAAGCGCTTGTGCACATTTGCACAATGGGTGATGCCGCACGAAGCTACCTTAGGTACTTGTGCTGCTACAAGCACGTAATGTGGCAGCCCTTGGGCTGCATCTTAGGGGACATACCTGAGTCTTGCATATGCACGAAACCCACCTGGTTTAGATCTGATTCATCGATTAATCTGACGCCTTCAACGACGCCAGGGTAACGTGTGACGATTGACTTTTTGGTCCCGGTAGCTGCCACCTTGCTCATGCACCGACGCCGCCATCGATATCCCCATCAACCTGTCAGGTCCAGTCCCATCCGTCATTGCAGAGCCTCTGCCCCGTCCGAAGCGAAAGCCACCAGCCACTTTCTTGCTCCTTCAAGACGACCAAGTCCATGGCTGCCGATATACGCAGACTATCGACTGCCATTCCATCCAAGCCGCAATCAAATTCATACATACTACTCAAGCACAAAGTAGACTGCGGAAGTGGATCAATGAAGAGACTACGGATACCCGGTCGTCAAGAGCCGTTATTCTTGGTCCCCATCCCCACAGTGAGTTGCCTGAGCCTGGCCAGCGGCGACATGTCCTTCTCCTGGCAATCTCATCCTCCGCCCGTAACCCTGGTTGCTCACCTTCCTATCATCAAACAACGGTACGAGTTCGGAGTACCTTTGCATGGATGCAGTCCGCATTCTATTTCATCAAGGCCCTCCCATCGTCGAGATTTGCCAAGACATCACTTTCTTTGCCTAATTTCTACCACTAGATACCCGTGGCCTGGCTTGCGACTTCTTGGAAGCCGCTCTACTTGTGGTAAGTCCTTCAACGTGAAGGTCTCTGGCTGCTCTGTGCCTCCTCCCCACCACAGCCTGTCCTGTCTTAGATTTTGTCTCGAGCCTACACCATTCCCTCAATTTCAAACCTAAAAAGCGCACGACCGCGAAACTCATCATGCCTCCTCCGGTACACCAAGCACATTAATTCGGGTGCGATATCAGATGTAGAGACAGGGAACCAGAGGGACAGCCATGGCTGGTTGGTAGGGGGGAGGATCTGAAACTATACCCGGCTCATGGACCTTTGCAACAGACCTCGTGCATGTTATGCACTTCCCTTCAGCCAGCAGTGTGATTGATTGCTACCTCGTTTTTGTCTTCATCCCGTGTCTTGGCTTGACATAAACGACAAATAACGAAGCGAACCATTGTCCAGCATTTTGCTAACTTTGGAGCATCTAGGCCGTATATAGCCCAGCAGACGCCACAATCAAAGCACTCTTCGCCCATGTTCACGCAGAACGGCGCTTTGAGCAACCATGTGTGACTTCTGAGCCTAGCATCCGACACCGCCGGCAGTGACCATATATCAGAGTTCCACTGCAGTGCTCTCTGTTAGTGTTGATGGTCTTGGTCCGAGCAGTTTGCCGCTGGCCGAGGTGACAAATGCTCACCCGCGGCATTTGTTAAATTGGGAATTCAGAACCGTAGTAGGCGCCTATCGGTATCTTTCTGTTGTGGCGAGTTGATAGCGTCCGACCAGTCGGCAGCTCTCGTGCTACGCAGTCTTCTCACCCTCGACAATATTCGCCGCGCCAAACTACCAGTCTTGACTCAACAGCGCAATGCTCCCCATGATGCCTTCGCAGAATATACGCAACACAGATTCGGCTTTCCCGATCTCTCCAGCGAGCTCCAACACAATAGGTTCTAGTTTTGACGGCTATCAGCAATCCCCAGTTAAAGTCTTTAGCTCGAATATACCGCCTCACCAACCACAATATCGAGGGTTAACTGATAGTACTGCTGGTCTATCAGGTAGTGTAAATAAAGAGACGTCGGCGCCTGAAGGAGCCCCACGAAAGAAACGACGCAGTAGGAAGGGACTGATTAAACGATTCGAATGCTTCGTTGAGGGTTGTGGGAAGAGCTACTCACGAGCTGAGCATTTGTAAGCATCGTCCTGACTTAATCCTGCATTGTAGGAACTTTCTGACTCTAATATAGATATCGACACCAGTTAAACCACAACTCCACACAATCATTTCACTGTGAATACCCAGGCTGTTCGCGTACCTTTGTTCGAGCTGATTTGTTGAAACGGCACATGGATCGCCATGCCGCTAAGGGTTTCCAACCAGGTCAAAATGAAAACTTCAGCGATCAAATACCACAAGCAGTAAATTCTGAATTGACACCGCCTTTTCCCGAAACCCCTTCGGCTACTATCATTGGCGGCCACCACCATACGCAGACTCAATTTGTCTCTCCGGAAGCCCAGGCTCAGAGTCCTTATACTCCAGTTAGTATCACAGCATCATCTGGTATAAGGTACAATTATTCTACAGA